TTTACACCTATTAAAAGGGCCAGAGACAATCCATGTAATCTGTGTTTGGGGGAGCACATGGACTGCTGCTCCTTGGGACAAAAATCAACCAAAGTAGCTATGGCTAAAGCCTAATCTTTCCTTTGTATTGGCCACAACAAGGAATAGTCCCCAGTCCCTTCTCAAATACCCAACTGTAGTAGTGAAGTTTTCTGTCACACCCCCACCTCAGCTTAAAGTTGTGCCTAATGGCACAATTTAGCTCAGAAGTAGTTGAAAGGTGTGGTGAGGTCTCAGATTACTAAAACTTCACAGTGTACTAGTAAATATACTGGAGTGTAATGAAGTATTTGTCACAAGGAACGAAAACTAAACTGTTAAAGTGCCATTGGTGAGTGGAGAGTGCATATTTTTTTGTAATTTATGTATCTTTCCTGAGTGTGTTACTTTCAGTGCATCACATTACCTCCACTACCACCAGTGACTCCAGGTGTTTTAAATGTCACAAATGTTTTCTAACAGAAAAACATGCAAGCATAACCACATTAGCCAACCAAAAGCTATAGTTTAAGCATTGCGGCTTAACCTACATCAACGCTATTTAAGTTGAAACATAGCAAGAAGAGCCAGAGAATGAGACATAAAGGTTGACATTCCATTCTTTCATGGCTTGTCATTGAAGGAGGCATTCTATATAACATTGTCTCTTATCCCCAGACACATCCAATAGCAAATTAAGGACACTGTCACTATTGAGCCCTAAAATGTTAATTGCATTTTATATAATTTGAAAATGTTAGTCCTCAGGAGTTCCTTTGATTGATATTAATTTCTGCTATTTTGTATTGACTTCTGGGGGATTTTTTTTTGGCAGCATGTGTAACATATATATGTACAATAAACTATATAGTACAAATTGTTAGCCATAATCATGATTTTTATATGCTATTATTCGTTTGTCACAAACTTCCTATGAAACGCATTTTTCTTTGTTTATGCACATTTTTGAAAAGAGAAGAAAATCTTTCTGAAATTAATGAGATTTGGTGAAATAAGCCAGATCATGATCTTGTAATATAAAAATGCTTTGAGGGTTTACTAAATAGGTCAGCTGATTTTGACACGGGTCCTATGTCAAAGCAATGACTGAAAAATCCAAGTGGAGTTTTCAGGATTTTACCCATGGTTTAATTCTATGCTGAACAGCGTACTTTGCTCTAGTAGCTTCAAGTATCAATGTATAAAACAGTTTGTGAATACCTGAAAGATGAAGGGGTGGTTATTAGCAGCCAGCATGGATTTACATCCCAAACCAGTTTTATTTCCCCCCTCTGACAGAGTAACTGGTTTGGTGGATAGGGGGAATGTGGTGGACATAATACACTGGGACTTCAGCAGGGCTTTTTACACAGCTCTACATGACATTCTTATAAGTAAGTTGCGGAGAAATGTGGGCTCGATGGAACTACTAGTAAGTGGATACAGAATTGGTTCGACAACAACAAACAAAGAGTAACTATTAATGGAATGATGTTGGATTGGAGGGAGGTCTCAAGTGGGGTTCCACAGGGATGTGTTCTGGGTCCGGTGTTTAATTTGCAGATGACCCCAACCTATGGGGGTTGCCAACACTTTGTAGGATAGCTAAAATTCAGAGGGATTTTGATAGATTGGAGAACTGGGCTTTAGACAACAAAATGAAATTCAACAAAGACAAATGGAATGTGCTACACTTAAGGAAGAAAAACCAAATGCACAATTACAGAATAGGGGATAACTGGCTTTGCAGCTGCACAGCTGAGAAGGACATGAGTCAGCAGTTCAATGCTGTTGCAAAAGAAGCAAATGCAATTTTAGGCTGCACTAACAACAGAGGCATAGTATGCAAGTCATGGGAGGTGATAGTACTGCTCTACTTGGCTTTGGTTAGGCCTCAGCTAGAGTACTGTATACAGTTTTGGTCACCAATCTATAGAAAGGATGCAGAGAAACTGGAAAGGATCCAGAGATGAGCAACAAAGATGATTAAAGGGACGGAATGCAAGCTATATGAGCAAAAGCTGAAGGAACTAGATATATTTAGTTTGGAAAAGAGGAGATTGAGGGGGGATATGATAGTGGTCTTCAAATACTTGAAAGACTGCAATTAAAAAGATGGAGATAAGTTGCCACAGAGGGCAGGACAAGAGGCAATGGGTTCAAACTACAGCGTAGCAGATTTAGATTAAATCTCAGGATAAATTTCCTAACTGTAAGAACAATAGGACAAGGGAGCAGACTGCTTCGGGAGATTTTGAAAGCGCCTTCACTAGAGGTTTTCAAAAGGAGGCTTGAGAGCAATTTGTCTTGGATGGTTTAGAGACAACAAATCCTGCGTCTTGGCAGGGGATTAGAATACATGACCCTTGTGGTCCCTTCTAATCCTATGGTTATATGAATATTCTTTCTACTATAAGCAATCAGGCTACATCTCTTTCTCTTCTTCTCAGCTATGCTTGCATAGCTCACACTCTGACAACCAATAGGAGGTACTTGTTAACATCTAACTGTCTTCATCCCCTATACTGCTAGAAAAATAATAATGCCTTGAGTCTAAAATTCCACAGAGAATTTATATTAAGGGTTTGATTGGTAATTGGAAAATGTTTGTGTTCTATGGGTATGGGTTTTCAGCAGTTTCCAGCTAAGTGAATGCATAGGCAATTTTGTTTCATTCCTACAGTAAATGATATGGAATTAATTACATGGAAGTTGTATTGGTTGATCACAGGATGACTATGAGCCACCAGTGTGATGTGACCGTGAAAAAGGCTAATGTATTCGTAGGATGCATTGGGTGAGGTATTTCCAGTAGAGACAGGGAAGTGTTAGTATTCCAGATGAAGTCTTGCCAATGCCTTGTATAATAGACGATGTGCAATTCTGGTCTCCCATGTTTAAGAAAGATGAATTCAAACTGGAACAGGTGCAGAGAAGGGATACTAGAATGATCTGAGGAATGGAAAACCTATTTTTATGAGAGGAGACTCAAAGAGCTTGGCTTGTTTAAATTAGCCTGACCAAAAGAAGGCTGAGGGGAGATATGATTGCTCTCTGTAAATACATTAGAGGGATAAATACCAGGGAGGGAGAAGAGTTATTTAAGTTAAGCACCAGTGCAGTTACAAGAACAAATGGATATAAACTAGCCATCAACAAGTTTGGGTTTGTAATTAGATGAAGGTTTCTAACCATTAGAGGAGTGAAATTCTGGAAGAGCCCTCCAAAGGGAGCAGTGGGGTCAAAAACCCTATCTGGCTTCAAGACTGCGTTCAATAAGTTTATGGAGGGGATGGTATGATGGGACTGCCTACAGTGGCATGTGGCCCATCAGCAACTGCCAGTAGTAAAAATCCCCAATGGCTAATGATGGGATGCTAGGCTCTGAGTTACTACTGAGAATTCTTTCCTAGGTGTCTGGCTAGTGGGTCTTGCCCACGTGCTTAAGGTCTAACTGATTACTATAGTTGAGGTTGGGAAGGAATTATCCCCTGGGTCAGATTGGCAGAGACCCTGGGGTTTTTCACCTTTGCTCTGCAGCATGTGGCACAAGTCACTTGCAGGTTAAAACTAGTGTAAATGGTGGATTCTCTGTAACTTGAAGTCTTTAAATCATGTTTTGAAGACTTCAGTAACTCAGCCAGAGGTTAGGGGTCTATTTCAGGAGGGTGGGTGAGGTTCTGTGGCCTACAGTGTGCAGGACTAGATGATCATGATGGTCCCATCTGACCTTGAAGTCTGAGTTACTGATTTTCATTTAAAAATCCTTTAAAGAGTTTTACAGAAAAAACATTCTTCTGTGGTTGGTTGTGGCCTCTGAACATTTTGGAGAAACAGTTAATTTTCCCTTAGTCTTTTTGGTTATTGGCCTGTGATCCACAAATATTGTTATGAGAAAGATAAGCTTTCAGGTTCAAATGCACACAATGAATAAACAAAGCAAATAATGAGTTAGAAGCTGAAAGTTAAATTAAAAATAAAAGATTTGAATCATCGAGTATTGAGAAAGCTACAGTTCATATCCTCCATGTTCACAAGTGCAACAGTGGGAGCTGCTGTGTGCTGAACAATCTGGTCCTTAAACTGTAGCTGGGAAGATTTACTGAGGGTTCATTTTGGGGCTGTACCAGCCAGCTCAAGTATGCCCAACAGATTGGGAGTTACTATGGCTTCAACACAAGGGAAGGAGGTTCTGTTGGCGGAAAGAGTCAGGCCTGTGATGTCCAAAAGGACCTGAGAATCTTCAGATCTTTGCAAAGGCTCAGATGCTTCCAGAAATGAAAGGCTTGAAAGCAGCCACCCTTTTTTTTTTTCATCTTTATCCTCTCCAGCAATTCTTCTTTTCCACTAAAAATGGAAATCTTGAGCAAAAATAATTCCAATGAGTAGTTCAGCATTGAGAGACTCAATACATTCAAAACATTCAAGCCCATTTCAAATCACTCAATGTTCTTACCTCGTGTTAGCTAACACATGGCAATTAACAAGAGTTAAAATCCTACTGAATATCTTCTACAATCAAGACATTCTTTCCAGTCAAGGTTGAGAGGTCAAGCAAGGCAGTTATAGTTTTAACATGTTAGCAGGTCAAGGTAAATCCTGAAGAGCTCATTTCCCTTTTACATCAACATGCTATCACAGTGAAAACTATAACTGCCTTATCTTGACTAGGATTTAACCAAGTTAGTGACCCTGTTAGCTATGAAAACACCTTTTCCCCCCCCTCTCCTCCTTCCTCCCCCTCCCCCCCACCCTGAGTGTGGCTGCACCCTGAAAGATAATGGGAGTTTGGTATCTAACTCATGTAAGCTGCTTTGAAAATCCCAGCCTGGAACTGTAGAAATACTGTGTCACTGATAACTGTAGCACAAGAAAGGCCGTTTGGTAGGTGTGAGAAGAAATCCGTTTAAAAGTTCCAAAATTTCTTTTGAAATCCACGTTTAGTTTTTCAAAAATATGTTTTTCTTTTGTTTTTCTTTTAGTTTCTGAAGAGCTGAGTGGCCTGCCATGGGGAACCATGTAGGGAAACGAGATCAGAGCGCTGAGAAGCCTATTAAGGTAAGAGGGGGAAAAAATACTACAAGAGGAAGACTATAATATCAAGAAAAGTGTATGTGATGAAATGCCAATACACTTGCTAAGCTTATTGTTACTACTATTATTTTATAATCACAATCATTATATATATAATTTCTTAAAAGTGGGGAAAAAAGGGGTTCTGCTTTGGTGAATTTCATGATAGATGTGATATCTTAGCATTCTGCATGTTTGGGATGCACACTGGATCTGAAGCTAGCTAGTCATGGTGGGGCATGGATTCTGAGACCTGAAAGAATAGAAATGCAGCACATATTTAGGTAGCAATGTGCTGAGTAAAATGTTACTTGTTAACCTAGCTAACCTAGCATTTTGTCAAAGTCACTAGATTTAACTATCTTACTTTTAATATGGGAGCTATATAAAAGACTGATAATAAATAAGAGTATATTAGAAATGAAAGATTGTAATGAAAGCTGAGATTTTCTCCTAATCACATCGCTAGGACTTTAAGAAAAACACCTAATACTGTGACCCAATAAAATCGGGAGTGTTGGCCACACAATTAAGAAGCTCTACAGAGTTTGTTGATGCTGATTATTTTCCAGAGAGGGGTAGTCAAAAGCTTTTTGCTTTCTCATGGTGCTTTTTTGTTGTGTGTTCTAAATTTGACTGAGAAAAAAGGGAATGCACAGAAATGATTTTATCTAGGAAAAAAATTAGTGTTGTTTTCTTTTTGTTAGTTGCTATTACTCATTTTGACACCAGAAAGGCTACAGTGTACAAACTTTCTCCAGAAAATGACCATACCTATTGGACAGGTGAGCTGTACAGCTTCATCTGGAGGAATACTGGTATTTCACATTGTTATGGCACAAATGACCAATATGCCCCCAGAAATAAGAGTGGAAGTAGTAAAGAGATGGTCAGACCTTCAATATGTCCTTTTAGAAGGCAGGGCTAAGTGGTTAGAAAATGAGTAAACATGCTGGAAGGAAGAGGGAGAAAATAGAAAAATAGTACCATCAAGAGGGGATTGTGCTGCTTTCTTTACATGTAGCCATAGTTGATGTATTTATGCTATGCCTAGCACAATGGGACTGTAGCTCTTAGGTTCAACTCTAATACAAATAGTAACAAGGTGTTCGACCCTAGGGTTACCATATGTCCGGTTTTTCGGTAATCAAACCCCCGTCTGGGAGGAATTGCCAAAAAGCCGAACATGTCCGGGGAAAAATACCACCGGTTGGGCACTTCCCCTCCCGCGGCTGCTGTGCTCCTCCCCTGACTCTTTGGCTCTGTTTAAGAGCCGAA